AACAATTAATTTTAAATTTACAAGGACAAATTTTATTTCTACAGAATAATCCATTAAATATGGCAGAGGCTAGACGACGACCAGTATTAAAATTGATATATCAATCTTTCCAACCAATCCCACAATATATAGGGCAAATGCCACCTGATGATTATATAAATACATTAGAACAGGCATGGTCTATTGCGGTACCCCAAATGATAGCTCTTGAAAATGACAATGCAGGAGACTTTAATGATGCTGTCAAATGCGATATTTTAAAAAGTAAAATAGGAGGTAAATTTGCTCCAGTACCGGCCAATGATCCATATATTCAAAATAATCCTGCTATAAATACACCTGCTACATTACGAGATTATTTAAATGCCAAATATCAAAGAGAAACAATAGGTAGTCAACAATCCGCAATCCAGAAATTGACTCAAGAAAAATTTCAAATAAATGATACTCCTGATATTTATGAAACTAGAATTCGGCCACTATTATTAGGAACAGCTGATAATGATGAACAAGTATTAGGATTTCTTAAAAACCATTTACCGGGTGAGCTTTATACATGGATGAAAATTGCAAATCCAGGTGGTATTAATGCATTTTTCACCGCATTAAAAAATATGTGGTTAGAACGTACTCCAAATTTGTATGAAGGTACAGTTTATCAACAAACTTCCTATAACCCTAAAATAATTGAAACTCCGGTAATTTCACAAACACCTGATATACAAAAAATGGTTAATGAAGCATTAGCAAAACAGAAATCTGAATACGATGCTGAGATAGAAAAATTAAGAAAGGAAGTATTGCAAAGCAATGGGGCTTTGCCCCTTCAATCCCAAAAAACGCAAAAAACTCAGGCACCAGTTTCGCAAACAGTTGAACCAGTTAGACAACCAAAAGGTCCTCCGTCAAATTTAAAAACGGAAGGAGATTATGAAAAATATTATTTAGCTAAATTCTTTAATAATTTAGGTATATATGGTAATGAAGATATAGATTCAAATTATCCTAAAAAACCATTTCAAAGATCTCGTCCACAGCAAAAAGATAACTCTATTAGATTAGAGGAGAAAGTAGACGAAATTGGGCATATGTTATCTCATCTTAATATAAACAATCAACCCAAAAAACCGTTAGCCAAATCAAATCGAACACAACGATATTATCCGTTTCAACCAATAAATTACTTAGATGAAGAAAATAGTGGATATAATGAAGAAGATAATATATGGTATGACAATAATTCTGACGTGAACCAATCTTCGAATGAAAAAAAAAACGGATATTATCACTAATAGATAAAACATCACAACCAGAGGCTGGCTCACGTAAATTTTTGAGAAAAGAACCTAGGGGTGAACCCCCATTGCTTTACAATAAACTTTTTCCAGAATCAGATGACCAATTATTTCAATTATTATCTCCAGCATTACGAGAAAAAATTACCAATCCATTAACAAAAAATAAATGGGTTGAATCTCTTGAATATATGCAATGTAAAATAGAAGATATAAATATTCCAGAGGCATTTTCAGATACTGCATCTGAATGTGTTCTTATGAACAAAGCATTAAATAATGCATTAGGGTGGGATCTTGGAATTGCACCAAATTTTATTCTTACTCATAATTCAGATCACGTAACCAAATTAATAGGAGGACATAAAGATGTTGCAATATCTATAAAACATAAGAATGGGTGGCTTACAGTAACGGTAAATATTGTAGTTATTGATGATAAAGAAACAGATTATCTTCTTTGTTTAGGAATGCCATTTATCCAAAAAGTTAAAGGAATTCCAGATTCAGATAAACATGAATTCCGAATGACAGTTCGTGGAAAATCTTACATTATCCCAACTTTTATTAAACCAAATGAAGATATTAACGAGAAGCAACCTTCAAGTAAGATATCAAGCTGTTGTACTACAGTAATACGGGATACCGCTCAAGATACAGAGTCATCAAAAACATTGGATTCCGATTCATCTAGTGAAGAGTTAAAAAAAAATGCGTAAATTGTGAGGAGTATAAGAAAGAAATGTATAAAGCAACTAAAATTATTAATAATCTCAATTCCTTTATTCAATACCGTATGGAATTATCCAGTAAAAATAGAGAGAGGAATGGGTAAAGTTGAATCTATGTCTCATCGATTTTATAACCCAATTTTGTTAAATTTCTCTTACCTCCTTCTATAGCATGTCTAAGATGAGCAACTGTCTCTGCATCTATTTTTTCTGTTGAGTCCTCTGAAATAACAGGTGAGTCTGATATTCGAACAGATTTGGATCTCTTTGCTTTTGTTCGTTTACTTGATTGTGCCGGCTCTACTGATACACTATCTATAACAGAGCCATCTGCTAGGCGATTCTCTAAATTTTGACTCTTTGAGACTAAAGGTTTGGACTCTATATGGAGGACATTCATGGAGGAATTGGATATATTAGCGGAGCTAATGTCTTGAGTCGAAGACTCGTGGCTTTGCCACTGACACTCAGTATTTTGATATGTTGGGGACGTAAAATTAGAGACATTATCATATGAGTATGGTATAGGTTGATCCCATAAAACTCTATTAGCTTCTACTCCCCTCCAAATCTGATAAATACGTTTTGTTGATGTTTTATACTTATCCGTCAACTCATTTAAAATTTTATATCTTGGTTTTATATCACGACACTGCATAATATATGAATAATCTTCTGGTGTAAAAATAGGTGCATCACATTTCATACGTATTCTAACCATAGTGATAAATACTTTATTCTTTTTATTGATTTAAAAATACAAGATATTTATATCCAATGAAAAATATAAAATAAATCGAAAAAATGTAATACATCAAATATATAAGTCTGATATTTAGTTAATACAAACGTCTAGTATATATATGTATTCCATTTTTTACATTTATCCTATATGATATATTAAGTCCAACATACATATATATTTAGCTTTGTTTATTTTATTCGAATATAATTTACAATTTATTTTTAACTATTGTTATGGGTATTAATGAAGAATTGCGTTACGCTACAAAAATTATATCCAATCTAAATGCTTGCAATGAATCATTGAGAGCTGATCGATTAAAGCAAGAGCAGGATTTCGATCAAGAAAGAAAGGGATGGGATCGGGATAGAAAGAAGTGGAGTAAAAAACTAGGAGAGGTTGTTACTGAGAACCAAAACCTGCAGTTTGAAAATGCTAGCAAAGATATCTCTCTTGCGAAATCCAAGTCTAAGTATACTACAAAATTAGAGGAGATTAAATCGCTTCGGAATGAAATGGAATTATTGAAGGGTAAGTTAGATTTATCTCAGAAGGACTCATCAGAGAAAGGGTCCGAAATCGTGTCTCTCAAGTCTAAGATAGTTGAATTAGCTATAAAGATTAGCGAATTGGAGCATCTGAAATCTGAGGATATATCGGGATCTATAAGCTCTGTGAGCCATGACCCAAAGGGTCGCCTAGGCACGCAAGTGCCATTGTTCCACAGGCCCGAAAGGGCGATGAATCAGAGATTCGAGGCTCCGCCTCCCCTAAAGGGTCATACTGCCTGCTCTGCAATAATCGGTGGAGATAATGAAAAAAATACGCAGAGCGAGGAACAAAGTTCCATAACCAAGTCTGACGATATATCTTTGGGTAGTACTGATCTCAGTAAATATTTTATACGCGGAAAAAATATAGATCCAATAGAAAAAATTGATAGTAATATATCGACATATACTAGTGGTGAGATTTCCAAACTATCAAAAAATAATACCGAGATTATTACCAAGGCAAGTGATGAAAACGATATTAGCAAAACCAGACACGAAGTGTCCTGCTCCGCAGACAACAATACACTCCAAGAATTACCGAATATAGCTCCTTACCTTGCACAGCCAGAAAATTATAACCCCTCTTTGATCGAATCACACTCTCAAATTCCGATAGGGGGAATAGGAGCAATTCCTGCTGTGGCAAGTACTTTGATGTCACCACTATCTGCATATATTTTTCTTACTCTGTTAATTATTGCCGTTATGTGGTTCGTGGTATTGAGACGCACATGGAATATAGGTAAAAAACGTGATCGGCTATGGGATACGTGGGTCGGATAGCAGGCTGTCTATTTGAACTTCGATATTATTTATGTACGAAAAAATATTACCCTTTTAATCATATCTATAGTTATAATGCGACATATATGGGATGTCTAGGCTCGAAGAGTGCAATAGAAAAAGAAAATTGATATGAAAACATTTTGCGAGATCCTTTGATACCAGATTTTTGATAATATGCGCTATTAACTCTGGTTGTTCAAAAGGATTATAAGTGTGATGCATTTGTTTGATTTATATTTCGTATTCTCTGATTTATTTTCAAAGAAGGTTCTACTAAAGCATATAAAAAAGTTATTAATGAGAATTGGTGATATGTGTAGTGCTTTGCTCATTTTCTTCGAAAATAGATTGGATAAGCTAATATAATATCACCTTCTTGTAACTTTATCACTCAATTTCAGATATTTTAGTTAGTTATACCTTGGAGTATCACTTTTTTTTCGAACTTGGGAGAAAAAAAAAAGCGCGAGAGTATGAGTGAGGCCGATTTCTTAGAATACAAGCAAAACTTTGAGGCTAAGATAAACGTACCTACTACTCCGCACAAAAAAAAACTGAAAAATAAATCTTTAGCAATCATTGAAATACGCATAATTGTTATAAACCTTTCAATAAAGCAGAGAGATTGCTACATTCAGCTAGTTATTTATTTCAGGTAAGGGGATTTTTGTCACCTCTTACAATAAGTGCAAGAAAAAAATTCAAATCAAAAATTGATACAGAGCATAGATAACCATTTTTGTGATATGTAATTTTGATCAAGATACAGTTTCGGAAGTACAATAAATAGATATAATTTAGGTATCAAAAAATGTTATCCCAGCGTTTTTGATATAGTATTATCCCAAAGTTTTCGATATATATATAGTGTTATTCCAAAGTTTTGATATAGTGATATTCCAAAGTTTTCAATGTAATGTTATTCCAAAGTTTTCGATATAGTGTTATCCCAAAGTTTTCAATATAAATAGTGTTATCCCAAAGTTTTCGATATAATGATATCTCAAAATATATAAAAGTATGATTTAGTATTGATATAAGCTGGGTTGGCTGAAAAAGATGTTATCCCAAGGTATAATTATTACAGAAATATTGATATATATAAAATTATGCTTTGGGATTACATATAAGTAGGTATCGAAAAAAAGTGATACCCCAAGATATAATTATTACAGAAAGATATATAATATATAAAATTATGCTTTGGGGTATCAACGGATATGATAACAATTCGGCAC